AGCGGCCGCCGTCCAGGAACATGAAGCTTACGCTGTCCTAACGTCAGGCCCTGGCAGCTGCGGAGTCATGGCGCACTAGTTTAGCTGGCAATGGTGCGGTGGGCGGCGGTGGAGTGGGCGCAGGGAAGGCTGCTTGTGTGCGTTGATCGTCTCATGGGCCAGACCCACGAACTGGCGGATGGCTGGAGGCGAACATCCCCAGCAGGACTGCCTCACATGTCCAGTGTCTCCGTCCAGGGCCTAGCAGTGCGCGAGGCAGGGGGCGATCGCTGCGCTACTGTGGCCATCAACTGTCTGCCATCCTAACCAGGTAAAGCCTTCCTAGCGGCCAGTCTCGCAGTGTGTCATGGCCGCCGGAGACAAGCGTTTCCCTCCCAGGCACTCCATCACGACGTATTGCCTTCGTGCTCTGTCGCAAGTCGTGCATATTCCCTCACGCTTGACCTGCCCCATCCATCAGAGTCATTGCCAGGAGTCGCCAATTATCTCCGACAGCCCATCCTAGCTGTCATAGGCTGGATAGCGTCAAATCCCAAGGAGCCATGTCCATGTCCGCTGGCTGATGCCGCCGTTGCTACTATTACCTCCACTCCCTATTATCGTCCCAGGGCCTGCCTACCCTAACATCCTGGTTGCTTCGCAATTCGCCGACGCATCGATATTAACCCCCAATTATACATAGTTGTACCCGTTCCCTGGACCACTCTCTGGTACCTCCTGTCGGCGAGCTACATTCTCCGTATCGTTGTTTGCATCTGCAGCGCCAGTACGTGCACAGTCCCGCCCCTCTACCACCATGTGGCTTGGAGACTATCCAAACAATTTCTGACCCTTTATACAGTTCCTCCACTCCCGCTGCAACCCATCATAACGACCAACGCATAATTCTCCTCTCTGTAAGCGAGATCACAGACTGCAGTCGGCACAGCTATCCATCTGCATCGTCAACGCACCTGCCCCGCCTTTCGTCCCGCCCATCCAACATCATCACTACCGTTCGCACATCTACTCTCGACAACACTCGTTTATTGCAACATCGACACTGGTAAGTTCTTGTTCAATCAAGCTTGATTACATGCGCTAACCAGCTACAGCGGATGATTTTGCTGTTATAAGTGTTTAACCAGCTTCTATTTTCCGGACCAGCTTCAATAAGCCAATCCATTCACGGAGTCGAAACCATCCAAGACTACTTTTCCCCATGTTGCAAGGTATCCGGGCATCGACTCTGACGATGCCTCCCTTTGGACATGATATGTCCCTAGGCGGCGTGCAAAAGGTGGAGGGCTATGGAGACACAGATTCATGGAACTGGCCTCAACAACCGACCGCTCAACAACCTGCGTACTCGAATATGTTCGATCCTTCCATGTACGCCAGCTTCACACCCTCGATGCAACAGCAAGTTCGTCAACCATCTCGCAATCAGTCTATCGCTACATCTCGCGTCCTCTCGACCGCAACTAGCACACCACCACCACCAAGACCCCAGGTTACAGGTAACATGGTCAAAGCACAACCGGCTTTCAAGCCCACGTGGCAGGGATTCCTCGATACCACCAAAGATGCCATGACCGTTGTAGAGGCCGCACTTCAAGGCCGTCTCAGCCATATCAGCCGCAGGCCGCATGATAAGGAACGCGCAGAGATGCTCACTTCTGGAACCGTCTTGGTGTACGAGGAGAACGCTTCCGGTATCAAACGATGGACCGATGCTGTGCACTGGTCCCCAAGTCGGGTGATGAACAACTGCCTCATATATCGCCAGCTGGTGCGAGCTTTGAAGCCTGAAGAGAAGAAGTCGGCTCTCAACCCATCGTGCGGTACTAAGAGGAAGCGCAAGGAGAACAACGGCCCAATGAGATCCAAGACTGGTGAAGTGTTGGAGAACTCCGAGGACGAATACGAGACCTCAGCCTTCGACGCGTCCCTGCCAGGCGATGTCGACTCCATGAACAAGGTTTACGCCAACTTCGCCCAAAGCTTGACGCCCGACCAACAGCGACGATTCTGTGGCTCCCTCATCGACAGCTATGAGTTCAAAGAGGGCGGTCTGATGAAGAAGACTATCTCAGTCAAGTACCAGGGTACCCACCACCACGTCATCTCCTACTACAGTCTCGAGGACGTCGTCAGCGGGAAGTTGAAGCGACCATTCCAGGACCCAAAGCTAGCCGACATTCAGCCAAGACCGGAGCTTCTGAATGGCTGGAAGGTCAGCCTTGAAGATGAAGAGAGCAAAGACATGCCCCTGGTAGCTGGCTACCCACACCACATCCAGCCCAGCCATGTCCAGCACCACGTTATTGGAGCTGTTACCCAGTCAATCGGCGCACAGGGCCAGCTCCAGACACATGCTCCTCTCCACCTAACAGTTCCCGACTACTGGCATGGGCCTCAGGTGTCCCAGTATGGCTCTAGCCACCACAGCCCCCAACATTATGCCGCGCCTCCATTCTCGGCCCACCAACCGGCACATCAATACTCCGTCCAGCAGCCTCCGTCGCAGCACTACACGCATCCGCCATCTCCCCAGCAATATTCTTCCCCACATTCCGCAAGCTCTCAGTACTCCTCACACGCTGCTCCATCCTCGCACTACGCGCCGCAACCACAGTCTGCGCGTCACTACTCTTTCGACCCTCCGTCGGCCACATCAGCGACCTCGTACACTCAGCCCACCTCGGCATACCAGACGCCGCAACCTGCTCCGTACGCTCTGCCTCAGTCTGCGGGCTTCGACGCTCATGCCTTGCCCTCCCAAGACTCGCCAGTCGGTCCTCATCACGCTCAGGTCCCCGGATCGCAACCCGACCAACAAAGGAGGGCTTCAGCGCCTGTAGCCGTGCAGCCATTCAACGCGCCGCAGTTCCCTGCGGCTCCCCATCCTCACTCTTATTACGTGACGGACCAGAAGTACGCCCCCGAGCAAAAGTACACATCTAACGCGCCCCATGGTTATTAGGGTGCCGTCGCATTGCATCATTTCACACATTTATCGAGATATACCCACGATCTACAGAGCATATACGAGACATTCATGGAGGATGATTTGGTTGCGATACCCCCTTAGCGACATTTCCTTTGGCGAAGGCGGTATTTGTTCAATACCTGCATGTTGGCACCCCGCGGTAACTGGTTACCCACTTTCCTTATGGATACAGTCGGAGTTGGATCTTTCGCTCTCCTTGTTTATGTTACTGGAATTCTGTATACGTGTTTCATTCATTCTGTCTCTTGTGGTGGCTCTAATACCAAAAGCACCTTATTTCCTCTATTCCGCATGGTCGTCTACGATACCTAGTCGCACTGCATTGCATGAATCTCTTCTTGTTCGCGTTGTTCTGCTTCTCCATTACCGCCATACCCTTGTACAACTATAACCCGATGCATGTAGCTAGTGCTCCATAGTAGCAACCACTTTACCCTAAACACTGCGGATACGCGCGACGAATCAAATAAATCAATCATAGAATCCAACAATGTGCTTCAATGACCTCACTCAACAAATCGCATGCATCCATCCGGTGCATTATCATACGTTGTTCTCAACGGTTCGGCTTGGGCTGCGCAATCGTACGACTATTCCTGCAAACCTAACCTCGAAACACGATAACTACATGGCTATCCTAGACATCAACTTCTTAACGACCCGAACATGGAATTCTCACCTCAAGAATGATCACAAAATCATCACTACGCCGCATTCCTACGCTAAAAGACACGGCATAACATCACATGCCGCTGCGCAGTCCAACCCAGCTAGCCGGGGAACCCTCCGTTAATGAACAACAACCATCATCACATCATCGCTATCACATCTCGACTAGCCGGTGCCGCAACGCCCCGTCTGCCGTTATCATTATCTGCATTGCACATCGATGAAAGGATCTCGATTCGCGAGCTGCGGCAGCCGGGCCAATCAGTAGTGATGGTAGCGAAGCGAGCAGCAAGGGCCATTGTGGGTTAACAAAGGGATTACTGAACCAGGCATTCTGTGCGAGAATGCTGTGCAGGACGGGGTGGCTTGAAATAGATCCGAGTGAGATCTTGATCCTTTGGACGGATAAATGTATATACATTGAGGGAAGATGGCGCGGGTTGTTGGAAGGGAGGAGTTGGACGCCTATGTGCTAGTGCTTGGCAATGGCAGTTGAGACGTAAATTGTTCGTGCCGGCGCATCGCTGCGAGTCACTTTTGCGGGTAAACTTCCCATAGGCCGGGTCTTTGTCCCGCCTATGGAGATGGAAGTTTGCGTTGCATAGAGCTGGAGTGCGACTCGAGGGTGCGATACGAAGCCGGCGAGTAATGGAGACTCCGACGCTGCTTCGGGACTTTGCATTCCTGTATTGAGATCGCCATGAAACATCTTGCTTTAACGGGCATCGTGTAGACGAATACGAGGAGTTTCTTTTCACAAAGTACCGTACCTAGCCCTACAGAGTACCGTAGGAAACCGGCTTCGTGTCTTTTGGTGATGCCCAGATGTGATGGCCAAGAGCTGATCAGTGATACCTCGCATGATTGAGGAAGTTTCAACAAAGTCAAACCGGATTTCTCCCAACACTGTGACATTTGTCATTGACCGACAATTCGTAAAATGAAGATGACTATACATCTGATGGTCCTCGGTCGTTTCGCGGAACTGTCATAGCATTGGGTCCCGACCGGCTCCCGAGTCAGAATAAAAAGACAGAAGCTACTCAGTATACTTGTCACTCAAGGGAAGTATCGTACGCACTGCTGCCTGATGCATGCAGTATGTGAGTCGTTGTCGTGCGTGAGTCGTAAGTAGTACGATGTTCGTGCTATCTCGAGGAGCCGCGTCGCGTGCGCGGGCGCGGCTGCCATCTCGCTTGTTCCTCCCTGCCACCCATTTTTCCCCACCATCCCATTTCTCTTCTCTGTCTTTCGGCATCGTGCCATCACCGAAATCCATCGGGGAAAGTCTCTACGCACCCGTCACCGCCTGTTCCACGTTCGAAACATACGTCTCCATTCATGCATCCTTTACAGGATGCTTCCACTGCTGGTACGACACGTAAGCCTGGAAACCCGAGATTCCGAGGCCAAGGATTCCGATGATTACCGCGATGAAGACTCCGATCATGGTTGCCATCAGCATGTATCGAGCACCGCTCTTTCGCTCAAACCAGTTCTCCAATCTAGTTCGCGGTTTTGGATTTTGCAGTTCCTCGTAGAGCTCTGCCAGTCGATTGCCAAAGTAGGGATACGATAGTATCGTGTCATTATGCCCATAATGATCCCAGGATTCGTATCTCAGGAGATCCTCATCGAAACCGTGTTTTGCGATAAGCGACGAAAGAAGAGCCTGCGACTCGCGATCTGAGGGGAACAGGACGTTGTGTATAGTGTCGAACACCTCTAAGATGAGCTGTTGCGGTAGCATACACGCTGTCGGTTGTCCTTTAGACACTAACAGAGCCTCCTTCAGCATCGCAGTACAATGGAAGACCTTCAGTACACCTCTTCCACGATCTAATAGTAGATGACTTCGCAGATCGGTTGTTGCTTCTAGGCGGACTTCAAGCATCTTCCGCAGCTGCTTTGCACTCACAGCAGCGGCTACGCCTAGCCAGTCAACTCTTTCCTTCCCGGATGCGATCGAAGAACTAGGTCTTTTTGGAAAGGCTTCCAGGAGGAAGTCATGCGCTGACACCGTATCACGCCATGGCAGTGATGAGCTGCCTTCCTCCAGAAGATTTGCACGCTCGCACGTAATCCCGCAATCAACCAAGAACAATATGCTGGCTGCAAGATCCACAGCGCGATGTTGATCCGATATAGCAGGAACTTCTGCATTGCTGGTTCGCTGCCCCACAAAATGGTGCTGGATCAACTGTTCTCGCGTGCTATGAGGCTGACTTTGGATAAGCTGAATCAAGTCCAAGAGGTCGCCATGCGACCTCAATGCTGGGTGCGGAGTGTACAGCTCAGGTACGTATGTTGCCGTCAAGGTTTTGTAACGAGCCCAAAAAGCAGCCTGTCGCTTCGCTCGGCCCCAGGAACATCTCGCGTCGAAACATGTCGGTTTTCCTGTACAACGGCCACACAGCCGCCACCCCCACAGACACCGGCCCAATTCCTGCAAATCACTGTCGGTCGTGAATTGCAAGGGGAAAAAGTCGACTCCCTCAGCCATATGATGATGTAAGCAAAGACGAACGGGAGCTTGGCTTGAAGCACTCAGCTATGCTTGCTCGAAGGCAGTATTATGCGCTTATATGTACTCACGCTGCGTGGCGGACGATGCATAGCCTAAGGTCAGTGGCTGCAGCTTCATTGGGCGTTGAATCCGCAACGTGCATACTCGTCCTGAGCGCGCCCAATCATCAAGCGGCGCTCATTCGAGTAGCTGATACGCATGGACACAGCCCGCAATTGATCTTTCCGGCTCACCGGTTGCGACGCAGATGTGCGGAGTATGCGGCCTTCTCGTACCGCCTCATAAGATCATTCTCACGCCGGTTGTCACCACATATCGAAATTTCCACGCCTGGAATTCACACGCCGACAACATGGAGACCCCGCAGCTCACACCACCTCAATCGCAACTTCTGAAGGATGATTTTGCCACGGATTCTGGCTACAGAAGCCCACCAAGAAGCCCTAGTGCTCTGTCAGCCCAAGCGGCAGCGCCCACTCCGAACAGCTCCGCTTCGACGATGTATCCTCAAGAACCAAGTATTGTATCAGAAACAGGCTCTCTTCCTTCTCATACAATTCACGGTATGCACATATACCAACGGGCGGTAAGCGAAGAGATGCAGAGTCGTTTTGATGACGTCACGAAGCGTCTTTCTGGCCCTTTAGCTACCTATCTGCGCAGAAGTCGGCATGAGCACCGACCCACAGCTATTCGGCTGATGTTTCTGGGACACGACGAGAGCTCAGCTCGGCCTTGGATCGTGGTGCTGTGTCCAGAGCTTGTTAGAAAGAGAGCGGAGAAGTTCTTTAAGCAAGACATGGCTCAGCGTCTATGCCAATCTGACGAACCCGGCCGTGAAAGCTTCCAGGTGGTGGTGATCGGTCACGCGCCGCGGCCTAAGGCTGACGAATATGCCAGCCGTGTGGGATCATCCTCGGGTCTTTCAACGGCGGACGACGGTACTTCGCACCGCTTCCAGTCCTCGTCCAAGGTCAATACAGAACATGAAAGCATCTCATCTTCGGCTGCGATAGGAGGATACCTTACGGTCACCTATTTTGGCGGTGAAGAGACCATCTATGGCTTGACAGCGGGCCATGTACTTCCGCAGACAGCGATTGATAGTCCATTGTCAGACGGGCAGTGGGATGGATCGATGCCCTCTCCAGATTCAAGTGATTCGGAGGAGGACCTCACTAGCGTCCCAGAATACGACGCCAAAGGTCGTGGTCAGAGTCTTCTCGACAGCTTCATTGGACCTAGAGGCGAACCAGCATGGACGGGTATGATATTAGCGGAGGCTACGTTTTCTCGTGAGGCCCGGGACAGGGATTGGGCACTGATCGAACGCATTCGTGCGAATGAGGTTGCATCGCTGTACACCGAAACCAGATATAATCCGGTCGTGCTCGGTACGATAGAAGACCTACAGCCGGCTCAGATACGTTTTGATGAAGGGCATGTGCTGAATTGTACGATTTCCCGGAATACCTCAATGATTCTGACGCCGTCGGGATACAACTTCGTTTCGGCACACATACTCACACTAGGTAATGATTCCGCATGGAAGCTACCAAAAGCTTTGCTGACGTTCTGTCCCGAACAGATGCCTCTGAAAGTATACAAGACGGTGCATCTGGTACGTGGGTCACTTCACGTTGGACTCGAGGTCTCCCTCATCGGAAAGGGGGGCCCAGTGAGCCCATATCGGCTTACGGCCAGGTAGTGGCTGATGACATCTTTGGGGACGTTTATATGATTCCGCTGAGCGATATAATGTCCGACATCATGAATTTGACGAGAGCTCGAGCGATAAGGCTACCAGAGTCTCTTCTGGAGCTTGAGCATACGCTTCCAAAGAAACGAGGTAGAGAAGAGGCGGATCAAGTAGGCAGCGAAGAGGCAAGCTCGGTGCCTGAAATACATACAAGCACACATGACAAGGTGTCGCGGATGAAAGGTCGTTCTGTCACGACTGGCATGAATGGCTACTCTCACATACTCGATTCTGACGTGCCGACACATTTTACCGACGCAATAGCACACTACAACGCTCTCCAGAGCGAGTCGCCCTGGAGAAATCTAGTAGCATCAACAGACCATTCCGAAGGTGACGACAATGCCGAGGAAGAAGACGAGGCTGCGCACGGTGACGTCGACGATGCAGGAGAAGAAAATGACGACGATAGCCCATCAATTGTCGGACATAGAGCACCTGAGGTGAAGATAGAACCGTGGTGGACATCTGAGGAGGATAGGTGTCTAAAAAGAATGAAGAGCGACGGGGCTTCATGGAGTCGGATCATGGACGAGTTTCCGAATAGAGTCGAACGAAAAGTGAAGGAACACTGGTACAAAGATCTGCGTCACGGAGCCAATGGGGAGAAGCCCTCAGCGACATCCGCGGGCGCCAGATATGGCAGATGATGGGCATAGCAGAGAAAAGGGCGATATCTCATACACGATGGAAGGATTATCCAGTATCTAATTGCGTTGCTTCAATTGATAAGCTGCATCCCAATGTGGACAGTTACGTGAGGTAGTGCAGGGGTTGGGATGTGGCTGGGAGGCTGAACGTCGCTTACATAACCGCGACTTGCAACGCGCGAACGAGGCCTTGAGGCAGACACGATTGTCCTCATCAAACAGACCTCGCTCTATCTTTCTTGTGATCGGCGGCAATAGGCCTAACTTAAGAGCGATATCAGAACTGTCGCAATCAAACAGGTGCGCATATCCAAGCCATCGCAAACATGCCACCAAAACGCCAAGAGGCCTCTGAGCCAGCCTCGACACCCGAGCCAAAGAGGCGTGTCACGCGTTCATCTGCCAGAACAAATACAGGAGATGCGGAGAACTTCCCAGACTCAACAAGCAAATCGCTTGAGGCGAAACCAAAGGCGTCGGAAGGACAACAGGCGGCTAATCCTAAGAAGCGTTCACCAAAGGATGCGACATCAGAGGCAGACGCGCAGCCCGAGCAAGAAAGCGACTCAGCACCCCAGAATCGCAGAACCCTCACCATCACGCACGACCTCGTCAAGAAACCAATCGAATGCCACCAATACACTCCCACATCATCGCCATCCAGCCCATCACCAACCCTAATATTCACCCACGGCGCAGGCGGCACACTCTCCGCCGACGCCGTAGTAGACTTCTGCACCGGATACTCCTCTTCTCTCCCCGTTCTCGCTTTCCAAGGCTCCATGAACCTCAAAGCGCGTACCAAGGGCTTCCACGCATGTATTGATGAGCTGAACTCCAGTCAAGCGACTGCACTAAAGGGAGCAAAAGAGGACACGTCTGGTTCAAAGACATTGTTACTAGGCGGACGAAGCATGGGCGCCCGAGCTGCTGTCATTGCAGCCAGTGAACATCTCGCCTCGCTAAACGACAAGGAAAGAGAAGAACTGAGCATACAGCTAATACTCGTTTCCTACCCACTCCTCGGCCCCAAAGACGATATGCGCGATCAGATTCTCCTCGACCTACCCAAGAGCGTCCGCATACTCTTTATCAGCGGCGACGAAGACGCTATGTGCCCGATCGATACGTTGAACGAAACGAGGGATAAGTTGACGGCGAAATCGCAGCTCGTTGTTGTTACCGATGCGAACCATGGGATGCATGTCGTTCCCGCTAGCAGGACGCAAAGAGTAGGAGAAGAAACAGGACGATGGGCAGCGCGATGGGTAGAAGGAGGACTCGTAGAGGATGAGGTATTCATCGATGAGCTAGAAGGAGAAGAAGAATGGAAATAAGTCCACAACAATACCACTCCTCCCCCTCCCTCCAAATAACCCACGACTACACCACCCCCCTCCTCTTCAATACCCACCTCATTAACCCCCCACCCTCCCTCTCACCAAAAAGATACCAACCCCCTTCTCCCTCATAAACCTCGCCCAAGTACTCCCATTCACTCGCGACCTCATCACACACCCGTCTAGCCTCTTCCCTCTCTCTCTCAATCTTAACGCCGTTTATCCACCTCATCAAATCCTTCTGCGTCTCCACCGCTCTGTCCCACCATTCGAACAGATTGTCGATTTGCTCAAGCTGTTTGTCCGGATGGGTTTGCTGGGGTTGCTGGTGGGGGACTTGGTTGATGCCTGTGCTATCGTCCTGTTGTGCTATTTCATGTGCGATGCTGAGGGCTGATGCTTTCTCCACGAATTGCCGCAAAATAGCTTGGTTGAGTAGGCGGGCTTCGGGGTGGATGCAGGGGGTGGGGATGAAGCGACGGGGACGGGTACGGGGACGCCGTAAGGAGGTGGGGTGGGTGGGTGGCATTGTGGGGGGTTGGGGTGTAACTTGAGGTTGTCTGAGACGAAGTGCGAAGGTTGGAGATGATGCCGTAGTGTAGTGTTGGATATTTCTGGGTGTGGGTGAGGGGGAGATGGGTTCTAGTGTGTATTGGGTATCGAGGCAGGCTGGTTGTGAATGAAAAGGGAAAAGTTGAAGCTAAAGATTGGGATTGTGGTGGTTGTGTGTTGGTGGATATTTCATGCCAACCATGGTTTCGTTGTTGCACGTGATGGGATGGGCAACTTCGCCCTTTAGATTGGACTGTAGATTTACCCACGCAACCCCGCTTGGAGCCATGACCAAGATACGAATTCAAGATGTCGCAACATGCTCCGTAGTATCTCCATGCTTCTGCGCCTCGCTTTCCTCTCCACCGACCTGCCCAACTTCAGACCCCTTACTCTTAAACACTTTGAACTCCTTACTCACAATATCGCCCGTCCCATCACCCACCCTCCTCACCTCCACAACCCCGCTCTTCTTCCTCAGCACAACACTCCACACACCCTCCCCCACGACCACCCCCTTCAGCCATCCCAGAAACTCCGTCGCAAAATTGATACACACATTCCCGTCCCAGCAGTTCGTGCCCTGACGCACCATACCTGGTATCTCATGCGTGTTGAACGTCTGCAGACTCCTCAAAATGCCAGCTTTACTCCGAAAGCCCACGGTGATCTTAGGTACGCCGAGCAAGAACGACTGGGCCCAGAACTTGAGGAGCTTGCGTTCGAACTTTAGAATGTCGCGGTGTTGTTGCTGGCGTGGGGGAGGAAGCTCTTCGCTTGTTTTGAGTTCGACCCATTGCACCTGCTCATCCGGATTTGTGGGTTTGGGTGCAAGAAGGCCGTCGACTTCGCCGCCGAGGATGAGGCTATGGGGCCCGAAGGATGTGTGGACGATGGAGCAGTGTTGCGCGTGGTTTGACACGGCGCCTTTCTGGGACCGCTCAATCTCTTGCCGTGGCGTGTCTTGAGGTAGCGTTGGTATAAGGGCGAGCTTCTCGAACTTGTAGCCCCAGTATGTCATCATTTCGCGCGATTGCTGGTCGGGGTGTTGGTGGCGGGGAGGTGGGCGCGTGCTTTCTGCTGCGCGGTCGGCGGCTCGGGAGGGGAAGTCTTCTTCGATGTAGATGGTGTTGTTGTGGAGGGTTGCGAACATGCTGAATTCGGCGAAGTTGTCGAAGGGGGCGGTCATGATCTGGGGGGTGTTAGTAACTGAGGTAGGTTCAAAGGAGCAGCAAGGTAAGAAAGCTGGTTTCGCTTACCTTGCTATGTCTTGTGCCGGCCTGCTTCAACATACCTTGGTCATCATGCCTCGCCAGGTCATGAAGTCGGCTTTAACTTCCTCCTTGCCCGTCTTGTCTTCCATGAGCGCCCTCAGCAGACTGTCCAGATGGGGATCTTCCTTGTCTTCATAGTGTTTGAATGTCTCGAAGCCCTCCTTCAGATCTGCGCCCATTGGAGGTGGTATGTAGTAGTTGATGCCCGACTCATCATGCTGGTACTCGTGGTTGTCATCGTATGAGAAATGTGCGACTTCGCGAGGGCGCTTTATCTTGGCCGACGCGCCGCGGAACCGATTGACAGGCTGTATTGAGAACCGATGAACTGGGGTATCAGGCGCCGGAGCCGCGCTCTTAGCAGTCGGCATGTCTGTATTCGTCGCCGGAGTAGGGGCTGGAGCAGCTGCTTTCGGAGGCGCGCGAGTTCTGGGTCGTTTCCGGGGCGGCGATCGATCTTCTGTATCCGCCGGTGGGCTTGGCGATTGCGCAGGAAGATCCGTAGAAGCCATGATGTAGTTGTTTGCTGTCGGTGTCACGAAGACGCGCCTCAGGTTTCGCCGCGGGAGTGTCGCAATGCCAAACCCCAGCCGCCCCCACCACCAAACGCTTGTACCTGACTAGCTACGGCGCGCCATTCATCCCACCAACCCCAAAACACCATCAACATCCAACCTCACTCCACATCCCGCCCTACACCTCTCCGAACAAAACACCTACTCAACCTCGCAACCCCAAATAACCAACCCACCATGGACAATCGCGCAATCCGCCTCCCCCCAACAACCCGCCGCAACATCTTCGCCGCCCACACCGCCCAGCAACAACAGCCACAACCGCAACAACAACCCGCGCGACGCCAGAACCAAGCTGCACCCTCCATCCGGCCTGACAGCCGCGAAATAGAACAAGACATCTTCATGCAACCCACCGAAGACGAATTCGTCGAGCGCGACGACATCGGAGAATACATTGTCAAAGCCCCGGCGCCCGTGTACAGGGAAATGGGCGTGGGTAGTGAGGGGGATGAGGAGGGTGGTACGTTGATCCCATTCCCATTCCCATTCTCCAGGCGAGAAGACGGAGACTGGTGTGAGATGGTATGGGGAGAATGCTGACATGTACGTGTGAACAGAGCAGGAAAACGAAATGATACAACTGTACGGCAAGACAAACGGACAGTGGGATGCCGTCGCTGTGGAAGAAGAGATTCGGGCTGCGTTGAAGAGTAGTCTGAAGAAAAAGGTGGCTAGTTTGGAGGATGATAGGTGGATGTTTGAGGGGGAGGGGGAGGGTAGGAAGTAAGCTGGGGGTTTGTTGGAGATGGGTTATGTGGATTTGGGTTTCTGACGGGGGAGGTAGGCGTTTGGTAGTTTGATACCCTGGTATATGGTTACTGGAATTGAAGTTTATCTGAAATGGACTGATATCTTGTGGATTATTGAGTGAGGCCTGTATGCCTTCGACGTATCTTGATGTAATGGAAGATTGTGGATCTTGACGCGGGGAGGTAGTCAGTGTGAGGTTCGAGTGACTTCGTAAGATTATCAAGTATGCCGCCGAAGACATGGTGTCTTCAAACTGACGTTCTTGTGTAGGTCCATGGTACACGATGACTACGTAGAGACTGAGGTTGAGAGATAGTCCAACACAAAAACGCTGAATATGTCCCGAGTACACGATATCCATGACAAGTCACAGTGCAAGAGTAATCAAGTTCATTCGCGGACTTACGCTCATCATAGCTGCCGCATCTACTAACCCCCATCCTCAATCCCACCACCATCCCAAACGCCCACCAAAAAAACAAAACCTGGGTATCAAAACACATTCCTAAACGCCTCTTCCCCTCTCACGCCCGCCCGGCCACCAATTCCGCCCAAAATTCCCAAATCTGTGAAACCAAATTAGCAAAACCGCACCAATCCAAGCCACCCACAATCAAACTTACAACATCAAACCGCCTCCTCATACTCCTCCCCACCATACAGCCTGCCCGCCCAATTGACCGCATCCTCCAGCACACATTTCTGGCGCCAAAGCTCATCAAACTCCGCCTCCTCATCCTCGTGCAGCCCCGTTGTCTTCAGGAAATCCAGCCACGGCTCCATGCGCCACAGGTGCCGCTCGAGCATCGACTCGAGGCCGCGGAAGAACCAGTAGAGGCGCTTCTGCGCCGGGGAGTCGGAGGCGGGCGGGAGGTGCGGGAACTCCGCGAGGGAGGGGACGTGGAGGTCGGAGAGGTTGATGGTGACGTTTTCCATCTTTGTGTTGATGGAGATGCGGGGGTGAGGAGGGAGGTGGGTTTGTAGTGGTAGTAGTAGTAGTAGTAGTGGTGGTGGTGGTAGTAATTGAGCTTGTTGTGATGATGGTGATGGGCTTGTTGGTGCTGGTTTGGGGTGTTGGGGAAGCTGGTTTTGGAGCTTTTATGTGGGCGATTTGGGGGTGCCAAGACTGCGTTTGGCGACGGTCTGGCTTCGCTATTGTTGAGCGCTTTACGCGTAGTGACGGTGACGGCGGTATTCAGCGAGGCTGGGAGGACTGCCGCCTGCTATTGAGAGGGAGACGAGCTAATGTTTTGGAGTAGGGTATCCGAAGTGGGGTATGCATCGGCGAGGGTGAAGTACATACTTTACCCCGGCGCCCTCATCACAGCGACGCCCTTTCGACGAGCCCTTGCACAGCGCGACGTAGCTACCGCCCTCCCTCGAGATACCGCCGTCGTCCTCCGAACCTACGATCGTATACGCCTCAAGCCGCTGCCACGAGCGCCCCGACCGTACGAGACCGAGTATACAAGGTGGAGGCACAACAGGGACATGCGGAGGCACACAATGGGGAGGAGACTATACGTCAAGACAATGAGAAGGTTCTTGTACTCAATTGCCAGCCCTTGGGTCGAGGGTATGTCGCAGTCGAGTCGGACAGCGGAGGAGGCAGCGCCCTGTCCGCCAGCGACGAGGCTGACAGTCCTTCTCGCCTTGCGCCCCCGACGCCAATGGCAGCAGCTCTAGGCTATCGTGCGACGGGCGGTGTACAGTTGCACTGATGCTGAAGTTGAGGAGAGGTGGAAAAGGTTGACAGACAACGGACATTGGACATAGAGGATGAAGCTTTACCAGGAAAGGGGCAGTCCAGTCGCTCCAGGTCAGGGCCAATCCGTGATGTCCG